ACTCGCGAACTCCTGACCTCGTTGATAAACCTGCCTCGGCCTCCCAAGTGAGTGGGATTACAGACATGAGCCACCACACCCAGCCAAAAAAGATACTCTTATATATCACTGGTGGGAATACAAAATAGTACAACTCATATAGAGGGCGATTATCTTTGAACCACCAATCTCACTTCTAGGAATTTGTTTTTTTTTTTTGAGACGGATTTTCACTCTTGTTACCCAGGCTGGAGTGCAATGGCGCGATCTCGGCTCACTGCAACCTCACGCCTCCTGGGTTTCAGGCACTTCTCCTGCCTCAGCCCGCCTAAGTAGCTGGGATTACAGGCACGCGCCACTATGCCAGCTAATGTTTTGTATTATTAGTAGAGACGGGGTTTCACCAATGTTGACCAGGATGGTCTCGATCTCTCGACCTCGTGATCCACCCCCCTCGGCCTCCCAAAGTGCTGGGATTACAGGCGTGAGCCACCGCACCTGGCCCACTTCTAGGAATTTTTTTTACCACGAATATACATTGGCACTAATACAAAAATACACATGTTCAAGGTTATATATTAAAATATTAGATATAATTGCAAAATAGCACTTAGATGTCCAAGTATAAGCAATTATTTGAATAACACTATGTCCACACAATGAAGTATTATGCAATTATAAAAAACAGAATGAGGACAACCTCTATCAACTAATACAGTATTTCCAGGAGATACTATTAAGTGGGGGGGAAAAAGTACAATCCGGGTGCTGATTGAAGAATTTTTTTTAAAAGTGCAAAAAGGAACATATATGTGTGTGTGTGTGTATATATATAATATATATATATATATATATATATATATATATTTATGTATATATATAGTACATTATCTTTCTTAAGAAATTAGAGGCTGGGCATGGTAGCTCACGCCTGTAATCCCAGCACTTTGGGAGGCCGAGGCAGGTGTATTACCTGAGATCAGGAGTTCAAGACCAGCCTGACCAACATAGAGAAACCCCGTCTCTACTAAAAACACAAAATTAGCTGGGCGTGGTGGTGCATATGTCTGTAATCCCAGCTACTTTGGAGGCTGAGGCAGAAGTTGTGGTGAGCTGTGGTTGCACTCCAGCCTGGGCGACAAAAAAAAAAAAAGAAGAAAAAAGAAATTAGGGTAAAAAAAAAAAGTCCTCTGTATGATGGAATATATTTGCTAAAGAATATTAAATAAAAAAAAAAAAGTCCTCTGATCCTTGCAAAAGGAATTAAAGGACAAAACAATGAAGTTGGGTAAGTACAAGGGGTTGACGGCAGGGGATTCTAGAATTAATTGTGTTGATGCTGAGAGCCAGGTTTCTCACTGAGACATATGAATAAGGAATTAAGAGAGACAAGAAAAAAGCCTATGATGATGAATTAGAGGTATCAATGTGAACTCATGATTTCCTAAAAAGAAGTATTATGTGTATACATATGTGTATGAGTGTACATATACTGGCATATATGTATATAGCACATAACATGTATATACTTCTTAGTTCTGTCAGCCAAAAGGGCCAAGACGCAAAAATATTCTAGCAGATGAAAAGATCTTGGTCTCTAATGTTACTCCCTTGTAAAAGTACCAGGACTCCTCAGGTATAAATTCCAGGGCAGGGGAGATATAGGATGCATAGTTATGCCAGAAAGGATGGAGATGCTAAAAAGAAAAAAAAATAAAAATGAGGGTATGTTAAAAGGATGTAGGAGCCCATTTGAAGGGACTCCCAGTGGCCAAATGTGGAATAAACAAGAACCTAGCTATTAAGTATGCTAATAAATCACAAATCATTGAAAAAATAGGAATTCCTGTCTCCATACTAATAAATAAATAAGTAAAAAAGTGAAAAGACAGGTTGGGCGCAGTGGCTCATGCCTGTCATCCCAGCATTTTGGGAGGCCGAGGCACGTGGATCACGAGGTCAGGAGTTTGAGACCAGCCTGGCATGGGGAAACCCCATCTCTACCAAAAGTACCAAAAAAATTAGCCAGGCATGGTGGTGAGCACCTGTAATCCCAGCTACTAGGGAGGCTGAGGCAGGAGAACTGCTTGAACCCAGGAGGTAGAGGATGCTGTGTGCTGAGATAGTGCCACTGCACGCCAGCTTGGGCAACGACAAGACACCATCTCAAAAAAAAACAAACAGTGAACAGATCAAGAAAATGTGGTACATATATGGAATACTATGCAGCCATAAAAGAGGAATGAGATCAGCCAGGCGTGGTGGCTCACGCCTGTAATCCTAGCACTTTGGGAAGCTGAGGTGGGTGGATCACCTGAGGTCAGGAATTCAAAACCAGCCTGGCCAACATGGTGAAACCCCATCTTTATTTAAAAAAAAAAGGGAGGCCAGGCGCGGTGGCTCAAGCCTGTAATCCCAGCACTTTGGGAGGCCGAGGCGGGTGGATCACGAGGTCGAGAGATCGAGACCATCCTGGTCAACATGGTGAAACCCCGTCTCTACTAAAAGTGCAAAAAAATTAGCTGGGCATGGTGGCACGTGCCTGTAATCCCAGCTACTCAGGAGGCTGAGGCTGGAGAATTGCTTGAACCCAGGAGGCGGAGGTTGCGGTGAGCCGAGATCGCGCCATTGCACTCCAGCCTGGGTAACAAGAGCGAAACTCCGTCTCAAAAAAAAAAAAAAAAAAAAAAAAGGGAATGAGATCATGTCCTTTGCAGCAACATGATGGAGCTGGAGGTCATTATCCTAAGCAAACGAACGCAGGAAAAGAAAACAAAATACCCCGTTATCACTTACAAGTAGGAGCTTAACAAAAAACAAGAATACATGGATAACAAGAGGGGAACAGACAGCAGGGCCTACTTGAGGGTGACAGGGGAGGAGGAAGAGGAACCGAAAACCACCTCTCAAGTGCTATGCTTATTATCCCAGTGATGAAATAATTTGTACACAAAACCCCTGGGACAAGCAGTTTCCCTATATAACAACCCTGCACATGTACCCTGATCCTAAAATAAAAGCTAAAAATGCTAACTAGTAAATGTGGAGAGAGCACTAGATTTTGGAGGAAAAAAAAAAAAATTATCATCTTTTTGCAACCGTAATAGTAAAGACTGGGCTAGGCATGGTGGCTTATGCCTATAATCCCAACACACTGAGAGGCCAAGGTGGGGACATCACTTGAGCCCAGGCATTCGTGAAATATAGCTGCAGTGGGCTATGACTGTGCCACTGTACTCCAGGCTGGGTGATAGAGTGAGACCCGACCTATTGAAAAAAAAAAAAAAAAAAAAAGGCCGGGCGTGGTGGCTCACACCCATAATCCCAGCACTTTGGGAGGCTGAGGCAGGTGGATCACCTGAGGTCAGGAGTTTGAGACCAGTCTGACCAATGTGGTGAAACCCCATCTCTATTAAAGAAATATATATATATATATATATATATAAAATTTTTTTTACAAAGAAAGATTAAAAATTTTAAATTAAAAAAATTTAAAAAATATATATATATACACACATACACGCACAGAGAGTAAGTGCATGCAAATGGCAAAGTAGATGGAGTAAAAGGCTACAAAAGGCACGGGGGTATTCTTTGTATTCTTATTCTTGCAACTTCTTTAAGTTTGAAATTATTTCCAAAAAGGAGTTGAGGGGAATAGTTTCATTTTATACTCCCAGCATTGGTCCAGTCCACTTAGATTTCTCCATGCGTAAAACATCTAGTGTCTGAGGACTCCATTCTCTCCTAAATTTCTATTAGGAGCATTATGAAAGAGTAAATTAGAGCTCCTTTAAGAAATTGTTAAAGACAAAACAACACCCCAAAAGTACTTTTCTGATTCTTCTCATTGGGATACTACTAAACATCTAACAATTGAATTTCTCTTTCTGTCAAATCTCATATATTCAGAATCGGAGAAAAAGAGCAGTATAATTTTTGTATCCATAGTTACGGCTACTCGAATTTACTTCACACATACTCCATAATTTTCTCCATTATTCTATAATGCTTTACTCTTAGAATTAAGTTCCGGCCGGGCGCGGTGGCTCAAGCCTGTAATCCCAGCACTTTGGGAGGTCGAGGCGGGTGGATCACAAGGTCGAGAGATCGAGACCAACCTGGTCAACATGGTGAAACCCCGTCTCTACTAAAAATACAAAAAATTAGCTGGGCATGGTGGTGCATGCCTGTAATCCCAGCTACTCAGGAGGCTGAGGCAGGAGAATTGCCTGAACCCAGGAGGCGGAGGTTGTGTTGAGCCGAGATCGCGCCATTGCACTCCAGCCTGGGTAACAAGAGCGAAACTCCATCTCAAAAAAAAAGAAGTAAGTTCCACATCAAAGGAGAGGCGGGTGGTATTTCCTTTATCTTACCACTGACGCATTTCTGGGATCAAGGTACCTGAAACATGTTATTGGTCTAAACAGAAATCCCATAGCTTTTGTAGGTCTAACTACAGGTTAATCAGACAATGCCTGATCCATCTCAGCTTCATTTTCTTCTAAGACCCAGAATCATATGTTTGTGTCATGTGTTCAATGGGTAATCAATACGTATTAGTTCATTTTAATTTGATACTTATAATTCCCTTAGAATCAGAGTCACAGGGCTTTACTGCCTAACTTGTTTATTTTTCTTTCTTGACCAACTTCTACTCCAATTTGCTATTAATAATCACCTGAAGGCTGGGTATAGTGGCTCATGCCTGTAATACAAGCACTTTGGGAGGCAGAGGCGGGCAGATCACCTGAGGCTGGGAGTTCAAGACCAGCCTGGCCAACATGGTGAAACCCCATCTCTACTAAAAATACAGGAAAAAAAAAAAAATTAGCCAGGTGTGGTGGTATGCACTTATAGTCCCAGCTACTCAGAAGGCTGAGGAAGTAGAATCGTTTGAACCTGGGAGGCAGAGGCTGCAGTGAGCCGAGATCCCACCATTGCATTCCAGCCTGAGCAACAGAGACTGTCTCAAAAAAGAGAGAAAGAAATCACCTGAGACTTGTTCCCACCGTACTTACTCCTAAAGGAACCCAAACGGTCCATTCCCTAACTGGCAACAAGTGCTGCTTTGGTCTTCCTCAGTGCAGAGCTTCAAGACTTCAGAACCAGCCAACACATACACCAAAACTTGATGATTCCCTATGAACAAACAAAAGTGGCACATGGATCAGAAAATCACTAAAAGGGACCAGATAAAGAGAAGATATGCAACATACTTAGTCCTGCCACATCTTAGCTATGTAATGCTGAAAAATTATTTTACCTCTAAAAACCTGTTTCTTCCTCTGTAAAGTAGGTATAACAGTGTCTACCTTCCAGAGTTGTGAGAAATTATTAAATGTCATCCTCAGATATCACAATCCATATAATTAACGTAGCACGGTACCTGGTCCTCTATAAATGCTACATTTTTTTTTTTTTTTTTTGAGATGAAGTCTTGCTCTATTGCCAGACTGGAGTGCAGTACAGTGGCATGATCTCGGCTCACTGCAACCTCCACCTCCCAGGTTCAAGCAATTCTCCTGCCTCAGTCTCCGAAGTGGCTGGGACCACAGGCTCGTACCACCAGGGCCAGCTAATTTTTACATTTTTAGTAGAGACAGGGTTTCAGCATGTTCGGCCAGGATGTTCATCTCATGATCTACCCATCTTGGCCCCAAAGTGCTGGAACTACAGGCCTGAGCCACCACGCCCGGCCTATTTCTTTTTCTTTTTCTTTTTTTTTTTTTTTTGAGACGGAGTTTCGCTCTTGTTACCCAGGCTGGAATGCAATGGCGCGATCTCGGCTCACCGCAACCTCCGCCTCCTGGGTTCAGGCAATTCTCCTGCCTCAGCCTCCTGAGTAGCTGGGATTATAGGCACGCGCCACCATGCCCAGCTAATTTTTTTGTATTTTTAGTAGAGACGGGGTTTCACCATGTTGACCAGGATGGTCTCGATCTCTTGACCTCGTGATCCACCCGCCTTGGCCTCCCAAAGTGCTGGGATTACAGGCTTGAGCCACCGCGCCCGGCCCTTCTTTTTCTTTTTTATGAGAAAGGATCTGGGTCTGCAGGGCAGGGAAGGTGGGAGGGGCAAATGCTACCTATTTCTAATGAACAACTGTCAGCTGTCTCTGCTCAGCATCACTTCTCTCCTTAGCCACCCTCTTTCCTTTGGGAAACTGACCCTCCCATATTTCATGTGGTACTGGTGAGGCTGCCAATCACAATACCTTAGTTCCCTTCCCTAACAAAAACTAAAGCAACCAGGTCTATTCTTCCAGAAATCTGGATCTTGAGTAAGACATCAAATGACAGAAGGCAGTTGGAGCTCAGTCATTCACCAGAATTCAAAGAATTCAGTCCATGTGGCCGGGCGCGGTGGCTTAAGCCTGTAATCCCAGCACTTGGGAGGCCGAGGTGGGTGGATCACGAGGTCAAGAGATCGAGACCATCCTGGTCAACATGGTGAAACCCCGTCTCTACTAAAAATACAAAAAAATTAGCTGGGCATGGTGGAGCGTGCCTGTAATCCCAGCTACTCAGGAGGCTGAGGCGTGAGCCCAGGAGGCGGAGGTTGCGGTGAGCCCAGAACGCGCCATTGCACTCCAGCCTGGGTAACAAGAGTGAAACTCCATCTCAAAAAAAAAAAAAAAAAAAAAAAAATTCAGTCCATGAGCTCTGGCAATTGAGATCCCTAGCCCAGGTGGCCCAACTGTTTAGCTCTTCTCTCATTTCTCTATCTTTAATAAACTCAACTTTAATATTAAATCTGAATAAGTTTCTGTAATTGGAAACCAAAAAATCCTATCTATTACAATATACCTTTGTTCCTCACTCTTTCAACAAGTACATAACAGGGCCAGGCACAGTGGCTCATGCCTGTAATCCCAGCACTCTGGGAGGCTGAAGTGGGAGGACCACTTGGGCCCAGAAGTTCGAGACCAGCCTGGGCAACATGGGGAGACCCCATCTCTTAAAAAACAACAAAAAAAAGTTAGCCAGGCACAGTGGCCCATCCCTATTGTCCCAGCTACTCAGAAGGCTGAGGTGGACTGCATGGGCCTGGGAGGTCAAGGGTACAGTGAGCCACCACTACACTCCATCTTGGAGGTCAGAGCCTGGAATGTAGTCTTTTTTTTTGGAGACACAGCCTGGCCCTGTCGCCCAGGCTGGAGTATTCACTGTAATCTCTGCCTCCCGGGTTCAAGGGATTCTCATTCTCCATTTGGTTCTCATTTTTTATTCTCATGTCTTGTCCCCCAGCCTCCTGAGCAGCTGGGATTACAAGCATGTGTCACCACCACATCTGGCTAATTTTTTTGTATCTTTAGGAGACCGGTTTCACTATGTTGGCCAGGCTGGTCTCAAACTCCTGGCCTCAAGTGATCAACCTACCCCACCTCCCAAAGTGCTGCAGTGCTTGGATTGCAGGTGTAAGCTACCATTCCATTCCTGGCCCAAAGGTTTTGTTTTGTTTTGTTTTGTTTTTGAGGCAAGAGTCTTGCTCTGTTGCCAGGCTGGATTGCGTGGGGCTATCTCAGCTCACTGCAACCTTCACATCCCAGGTTCAAGCGATTTTCCTGCCTCAGCCTCCCAAGCAGCTGGGATTACAGGCACATGCCACCACACCTAACTAATTTTTGTATTTTTTTTTTTTTTTTTTGAGACGGAGTTTCGCTCTTGTTGCCCAGGCTGGAGTGCAATGACGCGATCTCGGCTCACCGCAACCTCCGCCTCCTGGGTTCAGGCAATTCTCCTGCCTCAGCCTCCTGAGTAGCTGGGATTACAGGCACACGCCACCATGCCCAGCTAATTTTTTGTATTTTTAGTAGAGACGGGGTTTCACCATGTTGACCAGGATGGTCTCGATCTCTTGACCTCGTGATCCACCCGCCTCGGCCTCCCAAAGTGCTGGAATTACAGGCTTGAGCCACCGCGCCCGGCCTAATTTTTGTATTTTTAATAGAGCCAGGCTGGTCTTAAACTCCTGACCTCAGTGATCTTCCCGCCTTGGCCTCTGAAAGTGCTGGGATTACAGGTGGAAATAATATCTTACACTAAGTCAAGAAATAACCTTTCTTCTGTACACTCACAGCTTTTTTTTTTTTTTTTTTTTTGAGATGAAGTCTCGCTCTTGTTGCCCAGGCTGCAGTGCAATAGCACGATCTCGGGTCACTGCGACTTCTGCCTCCATGTTCAAGCGATTCTCCTGCCTCAACCGCCCCCCTCCCCCACCAGTAGCTAGGATTACAGGAACCTGCTGTCACGCCTGGCTAATTTTTGTATTTTTAGTAGTAGAGACAGGATTTCACCATATTGGCCACGCTGGTCTCAAACTCCTGACCTCAGGTAATCTGCCCACCTAAGCCTCCCAAAGTGCTTGGATTATAGGTGTTAGCCACCATGCCTGACCCACTCACAGCTTTTTATCTGGCATTTTTCACATTCTACTCTGTGAGGATTACTTCTGAATGTTTATTTTCCCCCACTTCTAAATTAAGTGACAGCAGGCTGGGTGTGGTGGCTCACACCTACAACTCTAGCACTTTGGGAGGCTGAGGCAGGTATGAGCCTCCTAAGGTGAGGAGTTTCAGACCAGCCTGGACAACACAGTGAGACTCCCATCTCCACCAAAAATACAAAAAAATTAGCCAGGCATGGTGGTGGGCGCCTGTAATCCCAGCTACTCAGGAAGCTAAAGCATGAGAGTTGCTTGAACCAAAGAGATGGCGGTTGCCGCGGTGAGCCGAGATCGCACCATTGCACTCCAGCCTGGGCGACAGTGCAAGACCCGGTCTCAAAAATGTAAATAAGTGAAAGCAGAGAATATATTGGACACATATTTGTATGCTTTTAAAATGCCAAGAATACAGGAGGAATACAATAAACACATAGCAGTGGACAATAAATGTTAGTTCTACAAAAGGTTATTTCATCTTTAGTTTTTCCCAAGCGATTTTTTTCACCCTGGTAATTTTTAGCTTGGAGATTAATTCATCACTAAGTGTAGGCAACATTCCGCTAACACTACTGTCGAAGAACTTTTCCGTTTTGAGGTGGGGTAGGTCTCCCTTTGCTATCATCTCAGGAAAAGTTGAGCTCTGAAGACAAATTACTCTAGCAAGGGTGTACTAGGAACGCAGCAATCAAGTAACAGCCAACCTTTACTGAAGTTTTTCCATTTGGTAGGTATCCGTGGTTACCAGGCCATGGGTACCTGGCTGCCCAGGCCAGATGCAGTGGCTCACGCCTGTAATCCCAACACTTTGGAAGGCTGAGGTGGGCGATCACCTGAGGGCAGCAGTTCGAGACCAGCTTGACCAACATGGATTAAACCCTGTCTCTACTAAAAACACAAATTGAGCCAGGTGTGGCGGTGCATGCCTGTAATCCCAGCTACTCAGGAGGCTGAGGCAGGAGAATCACTTTACCCCGGGAGGCGGAGGTTGCGGTAAGCCGAGAAGGCACCATTGCACTCCAGCCTAGGCAACAAGAGTGAAATTCAGTCTCAAAAAAACAAAACAAACCAAACAAAAAAACCCCAGACGTCCAGTAAAGGATGCGCAGTTATTACAGACCGATCAACACTCAAAAAAGCACAGTGGGAGGCCAGGCGTGGTGGCTCAAGCCTGTAATCCCATCACTTTGGGAGGCCCAGGTGGGCGGATCACCTGAAGTCAGGAGTTCAAGACCAGCCTGGCCAACAGGGTGAAACCCCATCTCTGCTAAAAATACAAGATAGCTGGGCGTGGTGGCGGGCGCCCGTAATCCCAGCTACTCAGGAGACCTGAGGCTGAGGCAGGAGAATCGCTTGAACCCGGGAGGCGGAGGTTGCAATGAGCCGAGATGGTGCCATTACACTAGCGCCTCGGCTGGACTCCTTCTCAAAAAAAAAACAAACAAACAAACAAACAAAAAGTAGGGCCAGGCGCAGTGGCTCCCCCGTGTAATCCCAGCACTTTGGTTGGCTGAGACAGGAGTTCGAGACCAGCCTGGCCAACAAAGTGAAACCCTGTCTCTACTGAAAACACAAAACTTATTTGGGCGTGGTGGCCCACGCCTGAGAATCACTAGAGCCCGGGAGGCGGAGGCTGCAGTGAGCAGCCTGGATGGTGCCACTGCACTCCAGCCTAGGTTTTAAAAAAAAGGGGGGCGAAAAAGCACAATATTGCAGTCCGCAAAATCTTTTTCTTCCTCCTTTCACAAGAGACCCCATTCTGACACCAGCCTCCATGGAAGCACCGGCGCCAGCTCCAAACTATGCGTAGCCACATTCGAATCCGTCACCGGGGAAGGATGTGAAGCACTGTGCCGGGCAGGAGTCCGCGCGCGGAGGAGGGGACGCGCAGGCTCCGGAGCGGTGGAGGCAAGGTTCGAATCCTTCCCGGGTTCTGACCGGCGGGACCCGCCCGGGTCCGTCACTGCACCTGCGCCTCGGCTCTAACAGGGCGCTGAGACACCTACTGCGGAGGGCCCGCTAGGAAATTCAGCGGCCAGCGCTGGTCAGGGGGTCGGCACAGCGGCCGTTCTGGATACAGCAACGCGCTCCAGGGCTGAGCTGGGACCGGCGGGGCTGGGGAACCGCGGCGCCGCTCCGACTCCGGGCGGGCCGGACGAGCCGGGCCCGGCCCCGCACCGCCCTCCCCCACAGCGCGGCGTGGCCCGGCGCCGCCCGCCCGCCGCGCTCCGCCGGCCGCCAGGGCCCGCAGCCCGCGCCTCCTCCCACGCCGCACCTCGCGACCCCCGCTTCCGCCTAGTACCGCCAGCGGGACTCCCGCCCCGCCCCCCGCCCGCCCCGCGCAGCCTGGCGCCTCACCTCGCCGCGTTCCCCTGTTCCGCGCCAAAGAGCCGCCGGTCGCGCGCGCGCCTCCGGGCTTTGCGTGCGCGCCTCCGGGTTTTGCGTGCGCGCCTCCGGGTTTTGCGTGCGCGCCCCCTGGCGGCGCAGTCACGAGCACGCCGCTTGCCGCGCGCCCGCCGCCTCCGCCCCTCGGCCGCCCCCGCCGGGTGCCGCGCCCCTGTCACCGCCCCCTCGGCCCTCTGCCGACCCCGCCGCGCGCCCGCCGCCGTCTCCGTGCCTGAGGACCGGGAGCACGGCGCCGAGCCGCCTGCCGGACTTCTGAGCCCCGCCAGTCATCACTCTGCCCCCGCGGCGCGTGGCCCGTGGCCGGAGGCTTCCCGCGCGTGGAGCCGTCTGGTTCCCCGCGGAGTGCAGTGAGGCGGGCTCGGCCCGGACTGCCTGGGTTCGGGGATCACGTCCCCACCCCCACCCCTGTTGCAGCAAGGGAAATTGAGGCGGAGGGAACTGGGCCCAGGGACGGCGAGCCGTGGTTGCCTCTCCGGTCCGGGCCCTGCATCAGGGCTGCTCGCGGATGAACCCGACTGAGTCTAAGGGTCACGTGAAGCCGGCATTTCAATCCGATGCTTCTGGAACGTCGAGATCGTCTTCTCTGGAAAGAACCGAGCCCTCTCTGGGCGCAGTGATGAGAGGATGCGGTGGTCTGCTCTGATGTCGGTCCTGAGGTCTAGGTACGTCCCCGCGTCTCTTGTTACCGCCGCCGCTGCCGATTCTAATAGCTGCCGGTCGTCCGGTGCCTACCGCGTGCCTGACGTCGCGCGAAGCAGGTGACGCGTACGGCCTCACTGACACCTTGGAGGTAGGCACCTGTTGGTATCCCCGTTTTCCAGGTGAAGAAATCGAGGCACTGACACATACATGACTTGGGATCAGGCCGGGCGCGGTGGCTCAAGCCTGTCATCCCAGCACTTTGGGAGGCCGAGGCGGGTGGATCACGAGGTCGAGAGATCGAGACCATCCTGGTCAACATGGTAAAACCCCGTCTCTACTAAAAATACAAAAAATTAGCTGGGCGTGGTGGCCCGTGCCTGTAATCCCAGCTACTCAGGAGGCTGAGGCAGGAGAATTGCCTGAACCCAGGAGGCGGAGGTTGCGGTGAGCCGAGATCGCGCCATTGCACTCCAGCCTGGGTAACAAGAGCGAAACTCCGTCTCAAAAAAAAAAATATATATATATTTTTATATATATATATATACAAAAAAATTAGCTGGGCCTGGTGGTGCATGCTTGTAATCCCAACTACTTGAGAGGCTGAGGCAGGAGAATTGCTTGAAACCAGGAGGCAGAGGTTGCTGTGAGCCCAGATCACACCATTGCACTCCAGGCTGGGCAACAAGAGCGAAACTCCGTCTAAAAAAAAAAAAAAAAAAAAAAGAATGTAGGCAAGTTGTTATCTTCCTGCGTTTGTTTTCTCCTCCTATGTAAAATGAAAATAATAATGTCTAATTCATAAGAGTTTCACAAGGATGTGATGAAGGCTGGGCTGGGTGTAGTAGTTCATGTCTGTAATCCCAGCACTTTGAGAAGCTAAGGTGGGTGGGTCACGTGAGGTCAGGAGTTCGAGACTAGCCTGACCAACATGGTGAAAACCCATCTCTACTAAAAATGCAAAAATTAGCTGGGTATGCTAGTGCACGCCTGTAATCCCAGCTACCCAGGAGGCTGAGGCATGAGAATGACTTGAACAGGCATGATTGCTCTGTCTAAAAAAAAAAAAGAAAAAGAAAGAAAAGAAAAAGAGTGAGGGCTGGCGTTGTGGCTCAGGCCTGTAATCCAAGCACTTCGGAGGCCAAAGCGGGCAGATCGCCTGAGGTCAGGAGTTCAAGACCAGCCTGACCAACATGGTGAAACCGCGTCTTAAAAAAAGAAAAAGAGTGTGAGTGTGATGATATATGTATGTAGATACTTTGTTCATAGTAGGAGTCAAATAAATATAATTATAATTTTAATTCTGGAAGTGCTCCACAGGATGATCCTGGGGCTTATTTAGAAGTTGTTTTAGGGTAGGTTAGTGCTCAGCATTAGAATGTTTTATTGTTTAAATAAAAAACTCCTATCTGCTGGAAACATGTAGGTTTCAAGAACAACAGGCAATTAAACAGAACTTTTTTTTGCTGGCAGTTTCTTCAGATTTTCCTCGCTATAGAAAACTAAGGAAAATGTGTGTTATCTCACAGGTCGCAGGACAAATGTATAGTTGCATTATAGGGTGGAGGATCCAGCCTTGCCTCAAATGGAGAACGAACTCAGGAGCTATGTCTCATTTAATTACTATAAATAGTGAACAAACTTATGCATTATTAGCAATTAACTATAAGACTCTTCCTTAGAGTACAGAGTGAGTACTTTTATTGTAATCAAAACTTACAACAAGGTTAATCTGATGCATATTTAATAATATATGTAATTGTTTTGTTTTGTTTTGTTTTGTTTTTTTGAGATGGAGTTTCGCTCTTGTTACCCAGGCTGGAGTGCAATGGCGCGATCTCGGCTCACCGCAACCTCCGCCTCCTGGGTTCAGGCAATTCTCCTGCCTCAGCCTCCTGAGTAGCTTGGATTACAGGCATATGCCACCATGCCCAGCTACTTTTTTGTATTTTTAGTAGAGACGGGGTTTCACCATGTTGACCAGGATGGTCTCGATCTCTTGACCTTGTGATCCACCGGCCTCGGCCTCCCAAAGTGCTGGGATTACAGGTTTGAGCCACCGCGCCCGGCCTAATATATGTAATTGTTATGGTGTTGCATGATAAATAGGCCCAACATTTTAAATTGGTACATAAATGACTGTAATTGGTTATTTTATTTATTTATTTATTTTTTTTGAGACAGAGTTTCGCTCTTGTTACCCAGGCTGGAGTGCAATGGCGCGATCTCGGCTCACCGCAACCTCCGCCTCCTGGGTTCAGGCAATTCTCCTGCCTCAGCCTCCTGAGTAGCTGGGATTACAGGCACGCACCACCATGCCCAGCTAACTTTTTGTATTTTTAGTAGAGACGGGGTTTCACCCTGTTGACCAGGTTGGTCTCGATCTCTCGACCTTGTGATCCACCCGCCTCGGCCTCCCAAAGTGCTGGGATTACAGGCTTGAGCCACCGCGCCCGGCTGTAATTGGTTATTTTTACACAGCCAAACACATAAAGTGTTTGCCTGCTCATTTTATTAATTTTCTAGAATCTATAATCATGCCAAAGACAACAGTTTATCTGAAATCCTTTACTACTTAGTCATGCGTTCACACACACACTGTTCAAAATGACACAACAGGGTTTCCCTTGGTGCTAAAAATAGCTACTATTCAAGGCTTTCTGTATATATTCTATCATTTAATCCCTAAGAAACCCTTTAAGGGAGGTGTTATGACTCCGATTTTACTGATGCAGAAACTGATACTCAGAGAATGTTAAGTAGGCAGCATGGCAGAGATTCAGACTTTTACCACAGTCCTTAACCACTGCTTTATCCGATCTCAGAAGATAATGGATCACAGCAGAGATATGTAATGTTACTTTAGATGATAGAGTGGCTCTGAGAAATACAGAATATATATAGCATATCCAAAGGGAGAATGAATCAACCTGAAAAAGGGAAAAGTTAGTCAGTAGTGGAAGAGTTGGAGCTTAGTGCCCATTCAAGGAAGACAGCCTTGGCCAGTGCGTTTCAGGCATCATTGCCCCATTACAGCCTACTATATTGTAAAGATACTTATCAGACTAATGCCATCTAATATTTAAATTTTAGAACTAACTCCGGTCATTCTGATTTCTTAAAAAATAATTATTGAGCCGGGCGCGGTGGCTCAAGCCTGTAATCCCAGCACTTTGGGAGGCTGAGGCGGGCGGATCACGAGGTCAAGAGATCGAGACCACCCTGGTCAACATGGTGAAACTCTGTCTCTACTAAAAATACAAAAAATTAGCTGGGCATGGTGGCACCTGCCTGTAATCCCAGCTACTCAGGAGGCTGAGGCAGGAGAATTGCCTGAACCCAGGAGGCGGAGGTTGCGGTGAGCCGAGATCGCGCCGTTGCACTCCAGCCTGGGTAATAAGAGCGAAACTCCGTCTCAAAAAATAATAATTATTATTATTATTATTGTAGGCTGGGCACAGTGGCTCATGCCTGTAATCCCAGCACTTTTGGGAGTCCGAGGCAGGTGGATCACCTGAAGTCAGGAGTTTGGGACCAGCCTGGCCAACATGGTGAAACCCTGTCTCTACTAAAAATAAAAAAAAATAGCCGGGTGTGGTCGAGCCCACCTGTAATCCCAGCTGTTCCAGAGGCTGAGGCAGGAAAAGGGCTTGAACCAGAGGTGGAGGTTGCTTTGAGCCAAGATCACAACATTGCACTCTTACCTGGGCGACACAGCAAAACTTCATCTCACCAAAAACAATAAAAAATAAAAATTGTAGGGATTAAACTGTTTTTCTTTTTTTTTTTTTTTTTTTTTTTTTTGAGACAGAGTTTCGCTCTTGTCACCCAGGCTGGAGTGCAATGGCGCGATCTCGGCTCACCGCAACCTCCGCCTCCTGGGTTCAGGCAATTCTCCTGCCTCAGCCTCCTGAGTAGCTGGGATTACAGGCACGCGCCACCATGCCCAGCTAATTTTTTGTATTTTTAGTAGAGACGGGGTTTCACCATGTTGACCAGGTTGGTCTCGATCTCTCGACCTTGTGATCCACCCGCCTCGGCCTCCCAAAGTGCTGGGATTACAGGCTTGAGCCACCGCGCCCGGCTAAACTGTTTTTCAACTTTTTAAGATCATTATTACCTGCCCTAAAGAGCCTTTTCAGACATTTACCTCCCCCCGAGAAAGTTCTAATATCACAGGTAAACTATAAATATGTTTATGTACTATGTATATGTAGTTTGTCCATAAAAAGACTAAGGTTTTTGCCCCTTAGAAGACTTTTTTCTTCCCCTTTATGAGTGCATGGGTTACACAATGATGCATGAATGAATCGGCTTCCCCTATAGAACTACCTTCAGATTCAGAACATGCGTTATAGCCTGGCATGGGGGCAAAGGATAGTATTTCTGTACATACAAC